GAGGGTTTCCTGGTGATTGGAAACTTCCTCTATTAAGACTCCCTTCCCGGGACGGGTCTCCATCCCTAGCTCTTTTGTCTCCCTTTTTATCTTTTATATTTTGTCCTACCTCCCTTCGAAGACAATGGGTTGCTTTTCTGGGCGCCTGATGTCCGCTGCTAGCGATCAGAAGTTGTTTTGTGAAATTTGCTCAGGGTTCAATTGTTCTTTCGATGAATTCGTAGGGGAGAAAGTGGTCTCCCCGTCCTATTCCTCCGCCATCTTGGCTCCTCCCCAGATCCAAGATGTTTTAATACCTGCTCAGTATCTATTCAAAGTGAAGTTGTTGGCTTTGATGAGAAACAGGCTTTTCAAAAAATATTACCTTCACCAATAACTTAGAAAAAGTAAAATTAATTTTAGTTAAGAGTCTGAATATTTAAGAATCCAAACATAATTTTCTAATTATTTCTTTGGATTTTTGTTTTGTGTAACCAATATCACAGAAGTGTTACAGATTTATTTTTTTTCCATATTGTCTGACATGTCATTGCTTCCATTCAAACAATGCTTCCAATTTCTCACTTAGATTGCTTCAACTAACAGGAAATAAGTGAAAATAAGTTGATTCTGAAAGGAAGTTTATAAATCGTATAAATTATTCTTTGATGAAAAGTGTTCAGAATTAGACTTCTGAAGCTCTCTGAAAGTCCTATATCATATACTGAGAAAAAACATGAGTGCTCTTATATTATAATTTTAGAGTTGAAAGGAACCATAGGATCATAGAGTCCTGGCANTATAAATTATTCTTTGATGAAAAGTGTTCAGAATTAGACTTCTGAAGCTCTCTGAAAGTCCTATATCATATACTGAGAAAAAACATGAGTGCTCTTATATTATAATTTTAGAGTTGAAAGGAACCATAGGATCATAGAGTCCTGGCATCTGTGAGCTCAAATTCCTTCTTTGATGAATTGGGATAATCTGGCGTATAATTCAAAATAAAATTTCCAAAAAATGGAAAGACAATAATGGCAACGTTGATATTGTACATTGTTTTGCAGTATAACTACTTTTTCAAAAAGGTGGCATAGTGTAGTTTTAAGAATTTTGACCCTGAATTCAGACCACCTGATTTTAAATTCTGGGTTTATCACTTATTCAGTGTTTCAGCTGTGTGACTTTGAATAAGTTACTTAATGTGTCTTTAAATGGGGGAAAATTAGGAACTACCTAATTTGTGGTGAGTTTATACATGTAAACCATAGCACAGTTTCAACTGCATAGTTAATGGTCAATAAATGTACATGGTTATTACATTGGGACTGATTCATTTGGATATTTCAATTCAAGTATGTATGTTAATAAGCATCTTAACTTCATGATTATATCATATAAAATATACAACAAAATTACTCAGTGAATGTTGTCAATTGACATGCTCAGAAAGAACCTAAACTTTAGCCTTCTTCATACACAAATCAAGATGCTCTTAGTAGCTACTTTTCCTCCTTTGAACTTTTAGTGAAGAAGCAAACTATTTAGTAAAATGGAATGTATGTCCTATTCTGTGATGCTTGCACATCTAGGCCCAAAGCGTGTTTGTGTGTGTTTTGAATATGAGAGGTAGGGAGTTTTGTGTTTATGGAATCTTAAATGCTTGTTTTGAAGGAGGCCAGGAAAACTTATAGATAAAGAATAAAGAAAATTGTTAAAATGATTGTCAAATAATTGGTAAAAATCTCATCCAATGTTTTGTTAAACAATTCATGGAAATTGAAGGGCTATGGGCAAGAAAAAAAAAATCCATATTAAGTATTGATTCTATCCCATGTATCTTACATTCAATATCTCAGTTAATCTAAGCAATAATATAATGAGGTAGGTATGTTATTACCTCCATTCTTCATACAAGGGAAATGCACCACAGAAAGTGTAAATCTATCATGCATGGGAGCAAAGCTTGAGGTTGATCTAATTGTTTAATATAAATGTATTTATTTATTCATATTTTGGCTGTGCTGGGTCAACAAAAAGCAAGGGCTTTTCTCTAGTTGCAGCTGGCAGGGGCTACTCTTTAGTTGCAATGCACAGGCTTCTCACTGCAGGGGCTTCTCTTGCTGCGGAGGGGGGACTCTGAGATGCACAGACTTCAGTAGTTGTGACCCACAGGCTCAGTAGTTGTAGCTCCTGGGCTCTAGAGCACAGGGTCAGTAGTTGTGCCCCTGTGACATGTAGCATCTTCCCGGACCAGATATTGAACCCATGTCTCCTGCATTGCCAGATGGATTCTTTACCACTGATCCACCAGGGTAGCCCTGATCTAATTTATTATATTGAAGCATAATTGGCATAAATATTATATCTGTTTCAGGTGTACAATATGATTCAATATTTGTATATATTGCAAAATGATTACCAAAGTAAGTTTAGTTAACATCTATAGCTATACATCCCTATAATTTTTTTTTTTCCTGTGATGGGGACTTTTAAGATTTACTCTCTTAGCAACTTTCAAATATGCTATAATTTTATTAATTATAGTCACCGTGCTATACATCACATTCCCATGACTTTTTTATTTTAGAGCTGGATGTTTATACTTTTGATCCCTATCAGCTGTTTCTCCCACCCCTCACCTTCTCTTCTGGTGATCACCAATCTGTTCTCAGTATCTATGAACTTGGGTTGTTTGTTTTTAAATTCCACATGTAAATGAGATGATATGGTATTTTTCTTTCTCTGCCTGACTTCTTTCACTTAGCATAATACCCTCAAGGTTTGTTCATGCTCTTGCATATGGTAATAATCCATTCTTTTTCATGGCCAAATAGTATTCCACATATATGGAATGTATATATGCATATATGCATATGCATCACATATACACCACATCTTCTCTATCCACTCACTCATCAGTGGACACGTGTTGTTTTCAGATCTTGACCATTGTAAATAAAGCTGCAGTGATTGTGGGGTTGCATATATCTTTTCAAATTAGCAGTTTCATTTTCTTCTGATAAACAGCCTGAAATAGAATTGCTGGAGCATGTGGTATTACTATTTGTAATTTTTTGATAATCTTCCATGCTATTTTCCACAGTGGCTGCACAAATCTACATTTTCACCAACAGTGTATGTGGGTTTCCTTTTTTCCAAATTCTTGCCTGCATTTATTACTGCTTGTCTTTTTGATAATAGCCATTCTAATAGGTGATACCTCATTGTTGTTTTGACTAGCATTTTCCTGATTATTAGTGATGTTGAGTATCCATTCATGTATTTCTTTACCATCTTTATGTCTTCCTTGAAAAAAATGTATATTTGAATCTTCTATTTTTTTT